TTGAAGTATGAAAAAAAGGTGTAAGTTTACTCTTTTAATAAGACAAGCCATGCAACTTGGAAACACATTTGAAGGTTTAGTGATTAGTTTGTCTTAACATCTGAGGATTTGCATGGATATAAAGGGCAGGCAGTTCCGCTCTCTTTTCCATTGAACTTGAGTTGACTCTTTCACATTCACCATGGCAACCTCAATGATCAACACATACATCAGCTCTGAAGTGTGTGCCAAAACTTTCCAACATTAATAATGCATAGGTATGAACTCCATTATACAAGCCTCTCTCAACAAGTCCGTGCAATGCCGGTGCAGTTCTGGGGTGCCATTCTTTCTCACAGTACACCACTGTGAAGTCTGATCCTAGACTGTTATGTTTTCCCCCCACTATGATACGTGGCCAAGCCCCTTTGGTCCCCTTCCTCCTTTAACATTGACCCATATAGCTTGCTTTACGTCTTCTCAGTTTAAACAAAGAAAGTAATGTTGGAAGGCAAATATTGCTGGAGCTGACAACTTTGGCTTAATGTATCTTTTCCCTGTGAGTGAGAATGCACACCTCAGCTGCTCTAACATTTAACTGAAGCAGATCCTCGTTTGTTTATCTGTTTAATCACTCTTTTATCTAGGCCAGCTACTGCTATAGCCACTCCCAACTGGAATGAAGTTGCCTGAGTGTCCTAGCAGTTTAAACATGGGAGATTCTGCTGCTTGGAAATTGCACCTCAAATTGGTGTCTGAAATGGGCTTCTTTATAAATCATACTGTGTGTTTTAGCTTAAAAGATAAGCTTTCATGATGCAATTTTATTTCAGCTGTGTTTCTACTGTGAGGCATGTTATCATGTTACTTTTACACGATGATCGATTTTATAACCAAAAAATGACTTTCGTTCTGCTTAATATTAATTACAACCTTTTGTACACATCCATCTTCTTTTATAACTCATCAAGACAAATTTCTTAACGGTAGTTATTATTTCTTCCATCTAACTATTTCGGTCAGTTTTCCGATACCTTAATAATTATTAAAGTGAATTGGAATCTATTATATGGTTGGGTTCCTGTTGGAGCTCCTGAAAAGACGTGGAATCCAGATGTTATTTATGGTTTATGGTTCATTTGTTTCTTTTGAAAACAGTACTGTAGGTGCTGGTAGTGAACATAGTGTTTGTGCAACTTTCTCCAAAATTGTATCAGTCCAACTGTCTTTTAGTTTTAATATTTTGCAGAAATAGCATGTTTGTCGTGGCGACAGGCACCTTCAGAGTCTATGCTAGTCATTACTTTTCTGTGGCCCCTTTAGAGACAAATGATCTTATTGGACATTGATATGTTAGTGTTAAGAAATAGACTTTCAGATAGGAGACAAAGCAAATTGTATAACAGGGTATGAACTGAGAGCCATTTGTGTTGGCGAGACAAATAAAATAGGACTGAATTTTATATTTAAACAAGTGAGTTATATAATGTGAGCATAAAACCTCCATGAAAATCCTTTCTCTTATATAAATATGGGCCTTGAGCGCTGTGCGGCACGGAAGACGGAGTTCTACAAAGGCTCCGTGGACCTCAGCACCTGCACTTCCCTGAACTACATTAAACCAGTTGGGACATGATGAAGCAATGCAAGTTATAAACCCCTTGGGGGGCTGTGAGTCACCACTCAGAAGGGTTCTTGAAAGGGGAAGAATGTTTTACAGTTTGATCAATCAGAGCCTGAGAAGTAGGCTGCAGGATAAGGATATGGTGAGGATTAACATTTTTGGACTTTAGAAGAAGGGAAATACCATCCAAAGAAAGTTCCCAAGAGAAAGACAGAGGCAGAATGAGGGACTTTTTTTTTTTTTTTTTTAATCATATCTCATCCAGCAGCCAAACTTTCTTCTTAGAATTCAGCCAAAGTAGATTTAATGATAATCAGCTCTTAGCATCCACCCCAGGGCAGAACTGTGGCCTGTACAGAGTTTGTTAGAGATCCAAGTGCCCACCATAGTGGTTCCATGTACACACCAAGAGGAAGTAAAAGATGGGCTTTCAGACTTCAAAATTAGAGTGACTTTTCCATAGAATACTTCATAGAAAGAAGTTCTTAACCCGTTTTTTTCAGCCAGAGTGAACTGTTTCTTTGAAAATGTCTGAAACAGTGCTGCAGTTGGTTTGTTCCTCTCTCTGGTTTCTGTTATTCTGTGTAAGTTATCAAGTGATTGCATTAAGAGAATTTAGATTATGAGAATTTAGATTACGTTTGTGACGGGTGGGGGCAAGAGTAACAGCATGGCCACTGTTGGAAGTACAGAACGTGTAAGTGAAGGACCCTGGTTAAGAGTTTCTGAATTTGGAGTAGATTCCAAGAGTTGTTGCCATTCCTTTTTCTTTTCCCCCATCCTTAGAAAATACACAGGACCTTACCAAGAGACATGACTAGAAAACAAAGTTAGACTTCCAATAGCTATTATTTATGCAGAATGCCTAGCAGATCAGAGTGCTGGCTGCTCTATGCCAAGGCCCTGACAGCAATGGGCCTCTACCTGGCCAGTGGGGTAGATGTGGCCTTGAGGATCGGGCACGATGGCAGGAAAGGGAAAGGGCATGCCCCACTGAAGAACTCATGCCCTTGGAGTGAGACTCGCTTCAGCACCCAGACCCTTCTCCACTTTTCCTATCTGGGAAACACGGACGAGGTTTTGAGACAAGCAATTCTTAGTGCATTCAATGAGAATGACGAGGAAAGCTGATTGTTTTGATGAGACCCCAAAGAGAGAAAGCAGGAGACAATGACAAGGGGGAGAAATAAGGGAAGGAGGGTTTAATAAGGGGGTCGGCCACGTCTACCAGTTCAGTCAGTGCCTCTCCGGGGCCTCACACCCTCCCACATTCTGTGATGAATCCCATGCCAGGAGCTGGCCAGCTGGCATCCTACAGGACAGGATATGAGGAGCCTGCAAGTCAGGGTATCTCTTCCTGGGTCTCCTTCTTGGGTGAAGGCATACAAGTATCCACATTGTAGATGACCACCTTAAATACCACGGTTTCCTGTTCCCGAGGAGCACCCCGAGGGCCCTTCATGGAGCACAGCATGACAGCTGCTGCCACATAGGGTTATCACAAGGTTGACGTCACAAATAAAGCACTTAAAGCATGTTGTAAGAGACCTACTTCACAAGGACAGAAAAACGCTGTATGCAAAGATCAGGAAAAAAAAAACGATACTCTTGAATTGAAATTCAAGTGCGTGTGCATTTATGAATGCCAAACTCAAAAAGTGGGGTTTCCCCATGTTAGAGGTCATGTACAAATAGCAGGGTTTTCCTCAGTCTCCTCAGATTGAAAACTTAAACTCCCCTCCTGTTTGGCGCCTCCAGCACTTTGATTCCTAGTCTTAACTCACCAGTAGGGGAATAGGGCTGTTCTGGCATATGTAGGTCTTTCTGGGCAAACCAGTGAGACAGGTAGCACAGCTACCCTATTAAGAACCCAAGTTCATCTAAGTCTGGGCCAGCCCAATGGCATTTTTATAGACCCTCTTCCCAAACCAGCCCTTGCAGGCAGTCTGTCTTATGAAACATTGTGTGTAAAAAAAAAAAAAAAGAAAGAAAAAAAGAAACAGTCAAACATCTGTGTTTCTAATGGGGAGGGAAAGTAGTAAAATAGTTTTTTGTCCAGAAATGCTCCTTTGTAAAAGCTGAAGCAGAGATACCTTCGTATGAATGTAGAAGCCATTTATCTGTGAAAGCCAAGGTGATGGTGTTTCAAATGGACAAAAGGTTGTGTTCTTGACTTTTCTCCAGGAAGGTGACTTTCTGCTCACGGATCTTCTATTTCCATTAATTGGAAATTGTCCTTTAAAAAAAACAAACAACAAACTGGAGGAAAAATTAAGAAACAAAGCAAAACACACACGCCTATACACACAAGCCAACCTCCTGCTCCATGCCCCGGGCAGTGTTCTTGTGTAAAGCAATCTGTGGCAGCTAGTCAAGCATCTTGGCAGGAGTTTTCCCCTTGAACTCTGGCTGCAGAGCTTCTTAGAACCGCTTAGAGAAACACCTTACAGAGCTCCCATTTAGGTCTGCCCTTGCTCTCCTGGTCTGTTTCTCTTGGTTTCCCCTTCTCTTTTCCGATCCTTTTTTAGGGGATCATTTTGGATGGGGATTGTATAGGCCTAGGAGCACAGGGGTGAGGGGTTTCCCTCAGTCTGGAGAAATACAACACATATACAAGGTGCTCGTGGGAAGGGGCAAAGGAGGAAAGATCCTGGCCCCAGTTCTCCACGTGCTGTGTGTGGTTGTACCCCCAGAGCGACCCTTTGCCATTCCGCCACATTCCTCACCCAGAGATCCCAGGGCCCTTGATCACTGTTAGGTATTTTCAGGAACTGCAATGGAAGAAGTGCTTGTTGCTCCTATTTCTAGAGAATTCAACTAAGTATGAAAGGAAAATTGACCATCAGCATAGAATTCTGACTCAGTTTAAATTTTAATCTTTAAATCAACTTATATTCCTTCCAAAATTAAAGTAAGAGTTAAAGCCACGTAATGGAAAACAATTCATGTGGAATGTGCCCCTGTATTAAATTGGCAGTTGTTACAGTTAATGCAATACCTTTGTTAACTTGGTGTGTTTATACTCTTAAAATGAGATGTAGCGAAAGCAAGGGTCCATTTAGCTTTTCTCTCATGCATATAAATTTAGTACAAGCCCTTGTTTTAAGGAGCTTTATGTGGTTGAATTGACATTGCTTACTAAACAATTGGAAAAGTTAAGCATAACCTAGAAGTCATTTAAAACTGTGAGTCACTTTCCAGACAAGCCAATAAGGTAAGAGAACCTGGGTTGCAAAATAATTACCAGCCCAGCCTGAGGGACCCTGGAAATATATTACGGGTATCAGTTAAGAAAACAAAGCAGTGCTGTTTTACTACTCTGCAGAGAACAAGCTAAGGTTGCTACCCAAACCAAACAACTTGACACTGACAATGCCAATTTTTACGTTTGTTTCAGAACCAGGGACGCTCAAACTACCGGAGGTAAGATTCACATTAAATTTTTTTTTTTTATATAGAACCTTTGCATTTCATGTTGTTTGCTAACTTAACCAGGCCTGAGCTTTTGCAATGTTAAATGTGCCTTTAAAAATGAATCGAAAGTAGAAATAGAGGGAACCAGCAAGAGCCTGTGAATAAAATGCACGAGTTAAATCACAGAGATTTTCAGCCACTGTCCAAAGGTGTGAGGGGGAAGGAAGATGTGAATATTTAGTGTAAGACTGGGTGTGAATTGGGGCACCCAGAACAGAGGGAAGGGCGGCCGTCCTTCCAGGAAGTGGGTCCCAGCCTAAGACGTTCCTCCCAACATTTCCCAGTACTGGCAATTCTAACATTATTGATTAAGGATATGGCTTTGTGTTTCTAGCAGTTTCCATTTGAACACAAACATGATTAGTATTATGTCCTGCTGATAAAATCAAGATCTGATAACATGTCCTTTTGGTTTAACACACAGTCTAATTCCTAATGGCTTTGAAGTTTGTAATCCCTATTCGCTGTCAGAATAAAGTTAAAATACCAAAGAATAAAAAATATGGCAGACCCCAGACTACCATTGCCTGGCTCTTTAACCAAAGTAACAGATTTCTCACCAGACCCTCTCATAATTACCATAGCAAAAACATTTAAAAAAAAATAGCGAAAAAGAAAATATAAAGTGTTTGTGATATTTATGTGAACCAAAAATACTATAGTCTGAGAATTTTAGAAAAACAGAATGCCAAAAATTATCACGTTATTTTAACATGTAACAATTGTCTCTTTAGAAGTCATATAATAGGATGTTTTTTAAATAAAGTAGTATTTACAGAGTTGGTAAAAACCAGCAAGATGTCATAAAAGGCACCTGTTTTTACTTTTTTGTACTAGTACACGCTGTGTACACATAGGGTATCAAGAGTGTGAATGAAGAAGCTTATAGGTACCTACACAGTGCATCTGCTCACTGTATTGTAGATTCATGAGTCTTGATCAAGGAATTCATAACAAAATAATATTTTAAAAAAGGCCTCGCAAGTTCCTTTAGGGCTAACATAAATTACCTACAGTTTCTGTTAGTGTTTTGCCAACAGGTAAGTTATTTTTTTTTAATCAAAGCTATCAGGATTTGTTAAACACCAGCAATCAACTTCTTTCACTTACTCTCATGTGGTTAATATATAATTGAAACAGGTACCTTGTCGAGCTCTGAACTTTAACTTGGTGTTACTTAACATTTATCCTGGTAGGTGTATGTATTTTTCCCCCCAAGGAAGACAGTTTTATTTTAATTAAGTAATGTGAAGTGGGTGTGTTTACCGAAGGAAAGTGTGCTAATAAGAAGTGGTTAATAATTTTCACATGACGTTAAATAATTCTCGCAGGTACTTTTATACTTTTAAAAAGTATGTGGAAGCCCATTATGAAATGAATTAATTTTCACATTGTTTTTCTTTTTTAAATTACAGCATCAGTTTTTAGTGACTTGCTCAACTTTCAAGTATAATAAGGGTCATTTTTATATAATGCGTGGCTGTGCTAACAATCTTTATTTTGGATGGAGAATTATAGCCATTTGTTATACTGGCCAGTTCCTTTGGAACTTTGGTTTGGGGAAGAAGCATGGAACAGAATATAAGGAAGGACACGCAGCGGGCTTCATGATCAGGGATCTCGCACAAATAAAGAGCAGTGCTCTTTTGTAAGCTCTGTGGTTTTTATTTTTTCCCTCTCTTGTGGGCCTTCTTTTCTCTCCATGTGTCAATTTGTAGTCCTTTTCTGTTTTCCTCTCAATAGCTAAGATCATGACTTTTTTATTTTTGACTTTCATACTTACTCTCAAGGTAGGCAGCGTTCAGTAGCTGCAGGATCGGTGGGCCTCTGCACCCCTGCCTGGGGTGTTCCTCTCCCAGTGCGTGCTGGGGCAGATCTTCAGGAAGCCCCTCTGACTCCTAGAAGGAAGTTTATCACTTCGTATCTGTTCAGTTACTTTAAGTTCATTCCACAGGTTGACAGGCAGAAGGACCAAAGTCAGCTTCCATATAGCAAAGGAACCTTTGTTTGTGTTATTGGTAAATCAACAGAGAATTAGGTTTTTTTGCCAAAAGAGGTCATAGGTAATGAAGCCAAACAATAACTACCAAGTGCTTACAAAACCTCTACTTTTAGGTAGATCGAAGGAGATTGAGAAAGTTGTAAAGAATGATGCTTATCGCCTTCAGAACCATGTGGGGCTGCAGCTGAGAGCCCCACAAGGAGGGGGGCCACTAGGCACCAGACGTGCCCGCCCCTCTTGCCTCCTTCTTCCTGTTGGGGACAAGGGCCTGTCCAGCTCTGCCCTGAGCTTTGGTTGGGGAGGGGAGTATGTGGCCAGAGATGACAGGATGAAATTGAAATTTGCATTTTAAAATAGTTCAGAATTTTCTGACAAGCATTTCCAAGCTTTTTTACAATATGAAATGCTCTGTAGGTCCTTTTGTTTTCATGATCTACAAAAACTCATACTCTAAATGTACTTGGTCTTATGAGAAGTTGAAAATTCCTCCGTTTTTTTTTCTCCTTAAATTCATCAGATCATAGTTCATTAAAATACCCACCTTTCCTGTAGACAGATTTCTGTTTCCAAGGTGACTGATTTTCAGTGACTTTTCAGGAGGAAGAATCTAAAACATAAATAGTAAGGCATTAACTTAATATAATAATTTATTCTTTGTATGAATTTAAACATTCAGGATACCATGAGGTTGATAATAATGGTAATACTAATAAGCTATCAATTAATAATTCTTATCATAACACTTAACATAAATTAATTCATTGATTTCCTACTACAAACCCTATGAAATAGCTATTATTATTATCCCCATTTTCTAGATGAGAAAACTAAGTTACAGAGATATAAACTAACGTGCTTATGATCACACAGGTGCAGAGAGGCAGGGACTTATTCTAGTCTTATTCCGGAGTCCATACTCTTAATAATGGTGGGATGGTTTATTTATTTATTTTTTTGCTTTTTTCCCCTTTTATTAAGTCATATATACATAGATCATGAATGCACTTATGCATTTGTGGGGTACAGTGTGTTGATTTTTTATATAATTTGGAGTGCTTACATCAAACTAATCAACATACCTTTCACCTCATTTACTTAATTACTGTGTTAAGACATTTATGGAGAATAATGGTACTGTGTTGCCTGTTTTAGCCCTAACTTTTTTAGAGTTGCTCTTGAACTCAGGTCTCTTTTTCACATTTGTGTGGTTCCTAAATAGTACGTGTTTAGGGATTCTGGGGATCAGACCAGAATGTTGAATTCCCTCCTTGACTTCCTAGCACTTTGATAGTAGATGGCCTGAGACCAGGAGAAGGGCAGCTTCTATCCTAGGCTAAGGAGGTGGGGGGACGCTGCACCACTTGAGCTTCTTCTTGACCCATCCACTATCACTAAGACTTTAAAAAAAATTTTAAGGGTGGTGCTGGTACCATATGCTGGAGGTGGCAGGTTCAAACCCAGGCCCAGCCAAAACCTGCAAAAAAAAAAAAAATTCTTTTTAAACCCCAAACAAAAATGGGGTATGTAGGAAGGAAATAGATGCAAGATACCCATCCTTATATAGAGTATTTTCCTGTTGACAATATTGCCAATTGTGTTGTCCTTTATAGAGAGAGCTCCAAAAAAGAGATTATCAAATTTCAGGTAGGAAAGAGTTTTTCTTTGAAAGCAGTTTTCTTTCATGTTATCAGATCCAAATCTGTGCAGAAATCCAGAGTAACATTTTCCTCTCTCTCAGGGACTCTCTTTACTTAGAATAGTAGGCCTGGTGCCCTGTCCCATCCCATCTTGCTCTACATCAGCGGTTCTCAACCTGTCTGTATTAAAGGGCCGCGGCATTAGGAAGGTTGAGAACCACTGCTCTATATAGCTTCGGCACTGATGGTAATCCTCTTCTAGTGGTTTTCAAATCTATGTTGAAAGTAGTTAGAGTTGTGGCAGGTGCCTGTAGTCGCAGCTACTTGGGAAGCTGAGGCAAGAGAATCCCTTAAGCCCAAGGGTTTGAGGTTGCTGTGAGCTGTGATGCCACTGCACTCTACCGAGGGCAACAGTGAGACTCTGTCTCAAGAAAAAATAAAAAATAAGACAAATAAAATTGACTTTGCAAAGTAAAAAAAAAAAAAAAAAGAAAGTAGTTAGAGTAAAAGCAAAACTTACAGTTTCCAATTTCCTTTCGCCTGGGAACCCCGAGAGTCTGTTGAAAATGGCTTTGAGGACCTTTGGAAGCTGAAGACCCTCGTTTTAACTTGTGAATGGCAACGACAGAAGGAACCTGAGGAAACCCCTTGGCTAATGTGCGCTTAACACAGCCACGTGTGCTCTGAATGACACCACATCTCCAGACCCCAGCACACACCCTAACACACATAGACAGAAAATGGCTTCTGTGAAAATTCAGATTGTATGATAGTCATGGACCCAGCATTTCATCCGGTTGTATAATAACACGTGAAAATCATGTCCTCCTTCAGTAGTGAGATTCCCGTAGTTAGTAGGTGGGAATGAATTTAAAGCCTGTGAAATCAAACATATAACCATGCATTTTCAAAGATTTAACATCTCTTAGTTCTCATCTCAGCTATAATTTGTGTAATACGTAGTTTTCTTATGGATTCCTTTTCTATAATAATAATAATAACAACTTTTCTGGTTCATGAACCCTATGTCTGGTTTGTTTTTCTAAGGTATTCAGATGTAACTGGTCTTAATTAAAACACCATTTTCATTTAAGGGTTTGCTAAAATGAGAGCTGGAAGGTCTTTGTTCTGAGGGTGTCTACCTTTTCAGTGTCTGTCAGGCCCTGTAAATAGCTGAGTTAGAGTTTGGGGAGATCAGGTTAAGGCTACGTTCATGTGTCTTTGCTGGGAACCTTTTCTAACCAAGAATGACTGCTTGAGCTTTGTTCTTGTAGTGCCTGGAGTTAGCAAGCAAAAATGTTTCTTTTTCTTAGTGTTCTAAGTTATCAGTGACTTATGAAATGTAATGATCTTCATGTGAAAGACTTGCTAGAGAAGCCAGAAGGTTAAATTATGAAAGTAAACTTTACAACCATGTCTTGATCAAATGTAGCCACGCTTTTAAGTGGAAAAAGTGCAACCTTCACTGGCTTTCCTACGTAATTTAATAGAGCAACATCCCCACCACATCTTCGTTTCATTTTATTTTTCTTGCCAGAAACGGACCAATGGACTCCGAAGACATCCCAGGCCGGTGGACCCAGGTGTGTTTCTGATTAAACATCCTCTAATCGGGACTTCAGTTCAGCGATTGTGAGAGTACATGGGAATGGCTGTGGAAAGTCAGGCATGGGGTCGGCCTTTGTTTCTCAGTTTGGTGTGTAATGTGTGACCAGGAGGCCATAGTTGGATGTGTAAATCATTCACACGATGAGTAACCACCAGTACCATTCACTTCCCACAGTCAGCAGTTGAGCTGGTTATTTGCTTCCTGCACAGCCTCAGGGTGCCTGGTTAATGCTCACCTATCCAGCACCCTCCCCCTGCTGCCTCCTAATCTGGTAAGAAAGTCGTCCTGCTGGCCAGCACTAGTGTTTTCTAAATGAGTAACGGAGAGCATAGAACAAGCAAATCGCACCCTCCCCATTTGGGAAAATTTCTTTATTCTATATCCTATTTTCTAATAGAAGATTGGTTTTTAGGACTTGATGAACAACTTTCTTCTCTGGAGACCAGTTATTTGCTTGCAGAAAACATTCAGTTGCCCTGTCATTATCTTAGTATAATTGTCTTTTTATCCATTAAGCAATGTATTCCACAGTTTAATTACCAAAGATCTTAAACGTGTGATCCTTTTGTGAGTAAAAGGTATTCACAACTAAAGGATTCCAAATACATAAAGTTTATCATGAATGAAGTAGAACATGAAATACAGAGTAATCCTTGCTGTAAAATAATCTGGATTAGGTGTTTTGTTTTCTCATCATAAACGAAGTTCACTGAGTTGTAAAGTCTAGGTTTCAAAGCGTTGTAGCATATAACTGCAACCACACCCAGGGAAGCCGTGCCAGTGTATGAGCTGTTTGAGATTTATGGGAGCTTGGTTGCTTCTGGCTAGAAATTGCCTTGGTTGTGTCCTGAGATCTGTTGAAATCTTTGAACTACAGAACAAAATTGAGACTATTAAAACAAAACAAAACAGGGGTTCTGGTTCACTTTGTAATAATTCTAATTGTCCTGAGACAATTCCCTTTGCAGAGGACTCTGCAGTAACATTCCAAAGTGATTTCTTCTGTTCCCCTTAGTAAGAGTATACAACTGTGAACAGACTACTTTTTGTCTTACATTGTATGTTCTGGTGTTTCCAGTTCAGAAAATTATCTAACCATTATAAGTGTTTGTTTTTTTTTAAATGGAGTTTTCTTTTATGGACACTTGTCCCCCGGGCAATGCATTTCTATATTTCTAGTATGTCAGTAGGCACGTATCTGTCTCTTCACAACTTACTATATCGTTGACAGTTTCTGGGATCCCTCAGATTATTCAAAGGAAAGTATGGTAAATTCACAGATTATAAATATGGCAAAGTAGACCAGTAGGACATTTACCTCCTTTATCGTAAAGTTAATGGCACTGTGTAGGTCCAGCTCTTCTGGTACTTTCTATTTGTCCAAAGATTTTAGAACTTCATAAAGAATAAACTTACAAAACTGCTATTGCATGCTGTGTTTGTAAGAATATATAGTAGTTTTCTGTTAGGTATAATGAATAGATATAAGGTTTTTTTTTTTTTTTTCACTTTTGCACATTTTTGGAAAAAACAAAATACATGTTAATGATCTTGCCTGTGGAAGCTGGTGATGTGATGACACCTGTTTCTCCCTGTAGCTGTCTTTTGATTTAGACTAGAATTATGTGTTGAAGGTTGCTTGATTTTTGCATCTTGGCCTCCTTCTGCTGGCAAGGTGCAAAACTTCTTTGGTCAAAGTGAACCGTTGCTTGGTGATGATCTTGCCTTGACCCCGATGTGGCTGTTGTTCAGCTGATCTTCATGGTTGTGTGGGAGATGTCTCATCCTGTATGTTTAAACAAAGGGTTGGGGAAACCGAGACTGCATGAGCAAACATCTAAGGTACATTTTCTGCTGTTAATGCTTTTACCATGCAAGTTCTTTTGATTTTTTTTTCTTTCTTCTAGCTAATTTAGTTGACCTATCCATGTGCTAATACACTGCTTTCCAGGGCCTGTTTTAGGGTGGCTTGTAAAAAAAACTGGTTAAACAGTTTGGGAGGCCAGGTGTTACCACTTCATGAGGTCCAGATTTCAGAGCTGTGTGCAAAGGTAAATGAATCTTCTCCATAGACCCTTTGTCTTGGAAAGGAACTTAATGCATCGTTCCATGGGTAGTAGGTACTTGATAAAATGTTTGCTGCATGAATTAGTGAATAGCCATATACTTTTCCTGTATGCCTTGGCTCTCCTGCTTTTTAAATTCTTCCTGCTTGATGTGCTAATGGAACACGACAACATAGTCTGGTGGTGGGAAGCCATGATGCCTGGGCTCGGGATCAGACTTAGCTATTCACTTGCTGTTTGACCTTCAGCCATTTGCCTCCTCTCTCTGTGCTGTGGTTTCCTCACTGGTAAAAGGAGGTCTGGTAACAGTTTCTACCTGACAAAGTTATTGTGAGCATCACACAAGTTAATACATGTACTCGTGAAAGTACCCAGTGTGTAGTCAACGCTCGGTGAGAGCAAGGATTATATTAATTAGCTTATATTGCAGTGTGTTATTGCATATCAGATATTTTCTCACGTGAAGAAGTCATAATATTTGCCTGTTATTTCTTTTCAAACAGACTCTGAGTTTTATGTTGAATTTTCATTCAAGCAAGGAGTTACATAATCGCAGTCATTTTCATGTTTGTTACCATTCCCCGCTTACCTGGTAGATATCATGATCTTTTTCTCATCTTTACCAATAGACACAATCAGTGGTTATGGTTGAGAAATTTTTTTTTTAGTGAAATTATTAGTGTGTGATTTCATTAAAGAAACAGAGAAAGGAAGGCTCCCAAGGTTGAAAGGGTATTTTTCGAGCCTAAGCAAGATGTGAGCTGTAGGTTTGTATTGTAGCTTGTTCATTCCCTTAAAACATTTATTCTGTATTACTAATTGTGGTTAATCTTTATAGATTATTTGCAAATGGCTTTGCTCTACTATTTTAATCTTCTATTGTATTCTAAGGAACTTATCAATGTATGATCTTGACTGCTTTTATAACTATAGTAATGTGTTAAATGCAAATGTTGATACCACTTTTGGATTTCTTAAATATAGCAGGGTATTTTCATCAGTTTATGCTTTCTTTTTTCCTGAGACAGATGTTGGCATCAGAAAAATAACACTTATAACAGACAGATCAATTATTTCAGGAACACGGAGGTGCTAGGCCTTTTTCAAGAACATGAGATCATAAATCTCAAGAAAATCTGAGCACGGGTGCAGTATTTTTCACCTAAAGTGGCACTCAAGGTCAAAGTTACCAATTAAATTTTAATATTGAGCTTTAAAGATTTCCTTCTCTCAAGTTTAACAGATAGAAGATTTATTTCAGTTTGCATGTGTCAAATGCCTATGCCAGGACATTTTATTGAGTCCAGGTTTTTAGACTATTGCAAAATTGTCTTGTATTTGTGGAATTCATAGCATCCTGTATTGAGTCCACAGTTCCTAGCTTTTAAAAAAGTCAGGCCATTGTTCTGTGTTGTGCCGCCTGGAGATTAGATTGCGCAGATGGGAAATGTTTAGGTTGCTTACTCTTTCTGATCTTAAGTTACTGGTGTGCTTTGCGATAACCTTGAATAGTAAATGAACAGATAATGGTTAAATTGATGAGTCCTTCCTCAGAGCTCTTGCCTCTCATGTTCACTGTTCAACTCTTGATTACAAAGAGATACATGGGGCTTAGAAACACTGTCTTTTGAGAGTCACCAAGGAGACATCTGACTGTTTCTTAGCAAAGACATCATCAAAGACCGTCCCTTTCTCTTTCTCTCTGTTAGGTGGTTAGGATATATGATGCCCACTATTATTGTGGGTTCTTGTATGAAAAAAGAAATTCAAGGAATCTTCATTTCTTTATCAGCTTCCTTTCTTACATGATGTGAAGCCCAGGGATATCATTATTTATAAAACATGTCTCCTGTCCATAGGACTTGATATTCTACCTAGGAAAGAAAAGATGTAGACACAAAGTTTGATTCTATAACTGCATGTTACCATGTATGTAAATACATTGAAATGTTACACGATATTTTCTATATTTATCTTTTATAGTATGACATAGTATCTTAAAATAATTAAATATAAAATAAATAGTTAAACGATTACACAGTATGTGCAAAAAAGCAACACGTATTAGAAGAGAGAAGCAAAGGTGAGCTCCAGCTGCTTTTACCCTGGGTTATGTGTAGATGTTTCCATTTATGTTAATAAAAATATTGTTATGGGGGTTTATTGCATTGAATTACAATTTAATACTACCTGTAACTCTCCTTTTTGCTTTAATTTCCAAAGATTATGTACTCATTCCAAATCTAAACAGAATTGTGGGTTCCTTTTACATTTGCTTTTAAACATAATATGAATATGCTTCCTAGAGAAATGTTACATTTTAGTTTCCAAATAGAATACGCTGATGAGAAAAATGGCAACCTAGGACTTTAAAAATCCTGACTCTAAAAATACATGTTTTCTTTTTTCTTATCTGAGGGAGACAAGTGTATATTCTTGAAGGTTTTAGTAAACGAGCTTCTGTCTATAATAAATAAGTAAAAAAGTTCCCATAGATTATAACATTTCCATATTAATCAGTCAATTCTACTTCTGTCTTTTCTGTCACCTCCAAAACTCATTTCTCATCAACTATAAATCCTAATCTAAATATTAGGAGCATAATTGTAAATGTGTAAAAATACATTTCACATTGAAAGAAATGAACTTGAAAAAACTGGGACAGTAAACCCAGTGATTAAGATTCATTGCAGAGAAATGAGAACTCCAAGCTGTGAACGAAGGCTGGGGAGCATGCTCTGGTTTTTAAAATAGCTGATTTTTCCCCCCAGCTTCTATTAAACTATGGACAATAAGACTCGATTTGCACAAAGGCCGTTGATCCTCTTGTAGTTATTTTCGGGACTACCTTTCTGATTCTCCTTGCCATGATAACAGACTTCTCAAATGAGCGTCACAGTCCCTAGCT